ACCGGAAGGTCCGCGGTTCGAACCCGACCTCTGCCCCTCGACTTCCATTGTCTAGGCTTAGGCAATCTGGCAGTATCCGAACCCTCGGGCCTCCTTCGTGTGGCATGGCAGCTAGGCACCGAAAGGGTGCTACGAACGACCGACAGATTCATTTCTGTCCGCAATGACTCAAAATTTACTCCTTGATAAAGAACCATGTTGGTTTCTCCGCCTCTTTCTTCGTCACACTCCATCCACCATTCTTCCGACCGTTTCTATCCTACAGCTCGGTTGCCTGGCTTTCATCCAATCTGCTCTTGTTAGGCACATTTCATGGGACAGCACACATTTGTGATATACGCAACCTTCCTGCTCCGGGCAAATCGAATTCAGTAGAATCAATGGATGTTGGGCATTGGTTGAATGATGGACTCCCAAACGCTGGTGACAATGGATCAAAACAGGTAGGTGTCTAGTCGCACTACCCTCAGCCCAGTTCAATCCCGCTCCCCATTTCGTGTTCGCTTGTTTTAATCGGTGAACAACATGTCTTTGCCTGGGGGGGGGATTCTGTGCCACCGACTCCCAACACAATTTTCATCTATCAGTTCAGGTCGTTGGTGGAACTTTTCAGAAAGTAATAATCCGTAGCGGCTGCAAGCAGTTGTCTCTCACCATCAGCCTGTGAACCTTTGATTTGAAGGTACTACTACCCTGGTTCTCCCAGTTGTGTTCGTTTCCTTAAGTCATCCATCGTGTAATCTAAACTAGGAACACTTTAATTCATACATTCCATGCTCGCCGATTCGGTCAGTGGCCAAGGTCATTGGAAATGGAGCCTATGAACGAAGACAGAATGCGAGTGGTTCTACTGGCTAGTGTCATTCAGGAGGGCACGCTTCGAGGACTAATCCGATTGTGTTCTCACACTAAACTGACGGATTACTTGCTTGCCCCATTGACAGAAGTCGTTAGACCGCATTGGACTATCCTCAGTCCAAATGGCATCAAACCTACCGGCTGTTGTCTCTGTTTTTTGTCTAGATATCACATGAAGCGTGGAAGAGTGCCAGAGGCGGTCAGGCAATGACTTGGCAGGGAAGTATGAAAACCATTACTAGTAAACTCAGCTGTGCTGGCCACTGCCGTCTTCCTGGATCGGGACCCACATCAATGGATAGAGATATTGTCAGACATGACCCAGTCGCGCCCTCAATGGCGCTCGTACATCCAAGCTATTGCCTTCAATGCATAGCTCTTTTTTCAGCCCCTCCACACCTGACAGCCCATTGAGTGTTAGATTTATGCACCAATTTATCAGCTCCCGCCTCCCCCCCCCCAATCATCGGTGAACGAAACTGCGGCAGCTACAAGCACTGTACGACGAGTACGCGGTTGTTACAGCTGACAATGATGATGATTTGTCTAGATTGAGTGAACCTTTGAGGCGGCGGCGATCTATTTGGAGGAAAAGTATGGATGGTTTTACGAGGTAGTCAACGAACAAGAATAGCTCCACGCCAGCCTGCCTACTTGGCTCTACTTCTCGGAGAGCCTTTATTTTTTACCACTCAACTTGATAGGGTTAGCCGCGCGGTCGTTGCTGTATTTTATCTCCTAGCTTTCAGTATGACTAGCCCACAAAATAACCGGAGGTGCTTTTGTCAGAAAGTCGAGCAATCATCCGCCTTTCCGTCGTGTCATCATCAAGCTTAGCTTTTCTCCGTTTCCTCTCGAGCACTCTGTCCATTCCGCACGCACCCACAGTGCAAGCACGACAAACGCTGCTGACTTTCACCTCTCCTCTCTCTGTCTCTCTGTCCGCATCAATTTCAACAGATTTTGCAAGTCGTAACCCAAACGTCCACCAATCACAGTGTGTCCCAGTTTGTCGCTCTCGTTGGACTTGCTGGCTCTGTTGTAGTGTTGCAAGTGGATCCGGTTAGTCGACCATCGCTTTTGTACAGTTACCACAACAAGCAGTCCCCATCTCCTACAAGTCATATTAGACGTGGTACTGGCCTGTTCCTTCCGACGGTAGATGCATCGAATTGGCGACTGTTGCATTCCACTGGTTTGCCACAAAGCACATGTACTGCCAAGCCTACTACTGATCAGCCAGGTTCCTTGTTGGTTCATTCCGGGATGTCTCCGTCGTTTTTACCAACGTCATCTGTTCGCCATGTTCGGTGTCTCACTTCGGTTGAGCAGTTCGATTTATGAACACATCTCCTCGCGTCAGCATTCCTCCATCTCTTTCCCGGTTGTAAAACAGAAATAATGATATACACTATTTCATTCATTCTGTTGTTGCTTCTGATTTGCGTCCGTTTGAATCTGTTTTCGGATTAATAACAATAGTACCGTATATTTTCATAAAGGAAACTACTCACAAGGTTGCTGAAAACTCTTCGACAGCCCACGACCGGTTTCGCCCTTCTTGGGACTCATTAGGTAAGCGCAGTCCCCGAGTTTCCGTTAACCTTATGTTCTATTTGAACCCAAATTAAACTTTTTCGAGAAATACACTCATTTGCAAATCAATTTGGTTCTCACGAGAGACTCAACTCGGGGATCGCGCCTACCTGATTAGCCCCAAAATGGGCGAAACCGGTCTACAGCTGTCGAAGAATTTTCAGCAACCTTGTGAGTAGTTTCCTTTATGAAAATATGCTGCGATATCTCGAATATCGTGCCAACTGAAACATGAAGCGGTCTGTGTGCAGCACATTCAGTTGTAGAATATCATGAACGAGAGATTCAGTTGAGTCTCTCGTGAAAACCAAATTGATTTGCAAGTGAGTGTATTTCTCGAAAATGGTACCGTATAGTTTTCATAACAACTTTGCTGCTGAGATGAGATTTTCTATGGGGTATGGGTATCCAAAGACCATAAAAGTCAACCAGCTTGTCACTGGATCGATTCTGTCATCCAATCCGAAGCAGTCAACAGACGTTCCCAATGTGCTCAAACTTCGACGGGAGCAAAGTCAGAGCTGAATTTGAGCCATGTACGCCTAGGCCATTAACTCGTAGCTTTATTTCAAGCTGTATTTAGAAACAGGCCACTACAACCGATTCGTTCGTTTATCGCTATGTACAGCCCGAGAATAGAGCGATCATCGCGATTCAAGTGCCTGGCCTTGAGCCCGTCTGTAGCCCAAAACTGTTTGACATGTCATATTCCCACGGTCAAGCGTCTGCCCCCGTCGCAAAAACACGGACAACCTAGATTTGTTCCGAAACAACTTCTCTTCAAAGGGGGGGGGGGGGGGGTATCCAGTCGCGTCAAATCGCAATAGGAAAAAGATTTGCATCCCTCTATATACTGTCCTTTTTACAGGCCACCATACCGACGATATCGGTGGAGGAAGTTGGCAGTACAGATGTTCGCATAGTCTTTATTTTATCCGAAATGCGTGCGCCACGTCATGGTTGTTCAGGGATTTGTGCTCCCGGCTGTTCCGGCCCATTTCATGTCACTGATGCCAGTGGGGATACTGGTCGTGTAACAGAAGTTCTGGCCAATGGCTCTTTAGAAGCCACGCTAACTCCTCGGTGAGTTTTTCGCAAGCAGTACTTGGTTTTTGTGGCTGTGATACTTAGCCACAAGCTGCCTTATATGTAGAGCACCACTTTGCGATGAGGTCTTTGGGAGATATTGGCCATAGTCAGGTTGAATTGTGTTCATGGGTTCATGGGTATTCGACACGGTCGTTGTTACCTTTTAACTGATTACGACTAACTTGCACTGGCTTAGCTTATCTACCATAGTTCCATTTGGAATCTTCCCTCCATTCAGATGTGAAGCTTGACCAGTTCCTAGACTTTTGTTTGTCTCCAATGAGGATTTGTTATAGTTACTTGAATGGGAAATCTCTTTCGGTCTACACATCAAGAGTAGTCTGTCTTTGAGATAGGTTGCGTATAGTTTCCCGGGGTTAACTCTGTTTTTCCGACCTTGGTAAATGACGCTCCTAATCATAGCTTGGTGGCGTGAGTTTTTTTTCTTCTTATTTCCTTCCTTCAACTAATGTGTAGCATACTGCAATGTTTGTGCGTCGCATTTTCTTGCTTCACTAGTTTCTGTGTGCTGATTCCAAATAACCTTGGCACGTGACACCAATAGCCGAGGACAGGCTTAGGTCAGTGTATCTTCCGCTATTTCTATATCCAATGATCTACCATTCATTGTATCAGGCCACATTGTATCAGGCTACATGCTTACAGAGCATGGTCATCAACAGCATGACAGCAGCTGTGAACATCGATGCTTCGCTGCCGTACAACCGTGATTTATATGAAAGCCTTATTGTGAATAAAAGTGGACGGAGAAGGGGTTTATTGCTAGCCTCCCACAATCATTTCGAGGTGCCTACACCTCCAGACATTCATTCAGGCAATCCGAATCGAAACTGACATCAAGAACGCCATTGGCATCGATCGGTAGACTTGCAGTGTCTCCAATCAGGCGCAGTGAGTATCACGTGGTCCCCATCCTGGAAATCGAGTCGCACAGACAGCGCCCAAACGTTTCGTGATTCCTTTCATACCCCTCTGAGAGGTCAATGGTTGACCAACTTTCTAATTCTACCACTCTGGATTGGGCATGAAAAAACGAACTGTCTTCAGCAAACGATGCGCAATACATGGCCTAACTAACACAACTTCTGGCGCTGGACACATTTATCTACCGATATCCCATTGGTTTCTAACTGGCTGGTTACGGATTCGCCAACACCAAACCATACGAGCTATGGTTCTGAGACAATGGTTGTCGAAGACCTGAAGACGTCTCAGTTCAGCTGGTCAACAGACCAAGTCTCACAGCCATACACTACAACAGCCCGTACTGTAACCTGGTGTACCACTTTAGCGATATTGGTGTCTCATGCTGTCAACTCTGCTTAGGGATATGAAGTGCCCAAACAAAGTCAGGCCTAGCGATGTTCGGGATCCTTCGACTGAAGTTCTGTTCTCCAGAGTACTCGTTACACATTGCCTGAACGGTATAACTTCTTGCACTTTCTTGTTGGATTATTATTTTTGGTAAGGAACTTAGTTGATGTTTAGTCTCACTCTCTCGTGTTATGAACTGCTGCCACGTGCTGTACGGTCATTAATCAAACCGAAATGGCTTCTTACAGTAAGAAAAAAACGTGTACGTTACTGCTTTTCCGTGCTCACTTACGTGCTCAGCTGGGACTCTTTTTGATATCAGCTCACTCAGTGGCAAACCTGTAGAGCAATTTAGTTTTTTCCAACTAGGAATTCGATCCATACTCTGTATCTCTATTACTGTTTTTTGTCGTTGATAAGCTAACGTTTCTTCTCTCAGCTGGGCACTTGTTCATTCATTGGCCGTTCTGTTTTTTGTTCTCCCCTTCGTTTAACAAGCACGCTTAGTGCACGATGCAGTTTGGACAATCCCAACAAAACTTATTTAAGAGAATTCAAGGAGTTCCCGTCCGATGTGGTCCCAGCACAAAGTCGATTCCAGGTGGGTTTGGGTAACTCAGCGGTATACGACAGTGATTCCTGATCGATTGTAAAAAAATATGTAGTTCCAGTACATTTTCCATTTTGTCCGTTGGTTACGCCATCGGATACGATCTTGTTTCTTTCCGTGTGATATGAACTTTGTCCTCTTTGTTGTTAAGCTAAACAACTGTTCAAACGGGTCAGTAGACGCGGTCGATTAGTCTATTCCTATTCGAGGGCTCCCAATAAGAACGGAAATTTTCGTGTGGCTGTTGACTTTGGATGCGATTCAAACCCTTACATTCACGTTTTAGTCTCCGCCCTGTCTTGCGCTCTGTTTTCGTTGCCACTCCTTGTAACTCCACGTGAGTCGGACAAAACTGTTGCCACCAGGGGTCGACCGTCCTATTTTTTATCCTGAAATTTTGCTTCGTATGATTTCAACATCTCTGTTTTGAATTAAAGTTTTGTGTCATTAATTATGTTCATGGTCTTGCCATCAACGCATGGGATCGAATTCTCTGAATCGTTATGTCTCCTCTTCGTCGTGAGCGGTCTTCGGGCACACTATCATTTCGGAATGTCATGGACGTAAAATAAGGCACCCTGTTTGATGGACAATACCTGTCAGGTGCGTTGACAGGTTGTAGGTTCCTTGAATAATATCAAATGACTTTATTGCTTGTAGGAAGGGACAGCTGGGTTGAACTGCGACAGTGTTGGAAAACTGGCAATGTATTGGCATGAACGATGAAATCATTCAAATGGTTCATTCTTGGTTGATTACTGATTTCAAGTGTGGCGCGTCGTCAGCTACCGTGACAAGAATGATGGGGTATCTAGTTAAACAAAGCAGAAGTGGTTGTGTCCCGCCCCCGTTTAATGTGCGATTTTTTCTTCGGAGTCATCAGTCGTCTACTGTTGAAACTCAAACGCCAGTTGCCTTCGAAAACCCATACACGTCTCTTCGTTTTACTACCCACTGAGTGTTGAAAGTCTGTTGGTTCACTTACCAGTGGTCCTTGATTTGTGTTATCCCGTAGAAATAATTTACACTAGAGCCAATGGATTTTCGTCTCTTATCCCAGAGAAAAGAAGTCAGAATTCGCGCATCGGTTAAGGAAAAACGGATGAGACAGTTCTGATTTGATAATGTGTCCAAATGAAATTTGTGTCCAAATGCTTCTTGACTGTAAAAGCTTTCGTGGGTTGTGAATTGCTCCGCATAAGCGATATGGTACCGTGTTCAAACCCTGAACTCTGAAAGACCCATTGATGAGTAGATCGGGGCCGCTAACCCTTCTGCTTTATTTGGAACCTATACAGCCAGTATGGCAACATTACTCAAGCCTGAGTGGGCCAGCTCTCTGTATTTTCTATCGCCCATGCTACTCAAGGAATGCGCTGACGTTCTCAATGAAATAGCGCACTGTTTCGTTAGTTGCGTACGTTTGAAAGTTGGCAAGGATAACTGTTGGCCGCTTACCGCTCGCTGTTAGGCACTGTTTCATCCGAGGCCTAACCCGCACGGGATTGGTCAGAAGAATGGGCCACTTGCCGACGGGCGCGCTCTGATTGGCCGAAAGTGTAGACCCAACAGCCAATCATGAGTTAGTGTCCGCCGAGTCCCGATTGCCAATACGGCGTTCAGAAAATGTCCAGATTTCCGGGATGTGCCGCTGTATACACTTTAATATGACGTGATGCAGATGGGTTTTGGGCGCTTAATACACTTTGTGCACCCTTGGTGATTCTTATGCCGAAAACATTGGCTTGGGAGGATCTGATCAAGAACTGAAGTGAGACATTACCGTTACTGCACCAACACCAGTGCCATAGGAAGCATCCACTCTCCTGATATCCGACAGAGTACTCTTACGTGTTTTATTGATTGCTCCCTTCCCTTTTCGCAGATCAAAAACGGCCAGCTGATAGTCCGGCTCAGAAAAGCTCCGGGTAGCAAATCTTGGGTCGGAGTACTGAAAACTACCGGGCTGCGATAAAGCAGGCCGCTCATCATTTACATCATCATACGACTGGTTTTCAATGTAGCAATTATTTTTTATACCTCTTCCTCAATCATGTGTGTGCAAAATCCGTTTTCTTGCTTTTCATCCGCTCAGTACCCACGAACTTTTTGACAACAAAACTATTTTGTTTCTTCCAGTGAATGTGAGACCCGACGTTAACTTTTTTGTTATTTTTTTCCGTTTGACACGGTTCGACTTCTTTTCTACCTTATAGGCTATAGCTTTATCGGACCGATGTGTATTATTCAACTGCGACGCATCCGACTTTTGGGTTTTCTTTTTTTCGCTGTTACCTGCCTGCACTTTTGACATCTACGGTGTGTGCTACGCGGGCCGCCGGGTGCACAATGGTTGGGTTTGAACAGTCTCACGTCACGTTTGTTTTTCGGTAAATCATTTCGACGAAACTAACCAAACAGTAGCCACTTATCACAACCGTTTGGCTCATAAATCACTACTGTAAATCCGGCTGCTCTTTGTGATTCGTGAACTATCGATATCATTGCGTTGGACGTGGAAAATAGAACTAGCTTTGGATAAACTTTTGAATAGGTAACTCATTCACATACCGCCTCCCCGTATGGCTTACCTTATTCGTTTAAACTTGTACACTTGAGTACTGGGGCGAGATGGCCCAAGTGGTTAGAGCGCGAACATACTCACCGGTAGGTCAGTTGATTCGAACCCGACCTCTGCCTCTCGACTTCCCCTGTCTAGGCGTGGATAACTTGGCAGTATCCCAGCCCTCGTGACTCCTTCGTGTGGCATGGCAGCTAGGCACCGAAGGCGTGCTACAGCTGAACAATTTTTTGAGTAACAAACGTTTCCTGTAACGTCTGCGTTTGAATGGACATTTCAGATGTGAACTACGGTTTCAGGTGGATCACGTCTTATGTCCCCTGTAGTCTATTTTGTCTACCTGTAATAGCCACTCAGTCTTACTTGAATGTTTAACAGCCGTAGACTTTCTCACACCTGTCTGGTCAGTGGCTAGGTGTCTGGCTTCCTGGTCTCCCAGATTGACTGTTGGAACGTGTACGACGACCGGTTCTTCAATAAATTTCTACTACTTTGATAGTGTGATCTCACCTACTCGTTGCGGTCGGACTTTCAGGCCGAAGGCCTTCGTTGAAGACCCTACTCGGCCTTCTGTCTAGGTCTGGGTGCTCTCGGAGTGCCTCAGCCCACATACAACAATCGCCCGACTATGTGTGGATTCGAAACAGGTCAGTGTCCACCTCAACTTTCATATCCAACTCAGATGTTTTCAAAGTAGTGTGTTGTTTCCACTTCACCAAGTCTTGGTTACGTTCTCATCCATTTCTGGAGTTAGCTGAAACCATTGAAAGTACCGGTCATCTGCAATGATGTTTTCGTGCAAAGTGCGACGAGATTTTCAGGATACACCCGAAACGCATATCTGCCATTTCTCGAATGAACGAGGTGAAAATGACGTCAGAAGGTAAACAAAACGTCCTAGCAATAGAGCAAATGTCAGTACGGGGGTGGAATACACAATCAAGGCATCTGTCGAGTAGGCTACCCGTCCGCGAAGAACGAATTTCGCACACGTAACCGATATTTGGAGGCTGGGGTTCAGTAAAATCGGTCATCGCGCTACCCCTCAGGCGTCTTAGTACCTGTGTACCTCACGGTGGGTTAGTGGCTACCGGTGGAGGCTTGAACGTGACCGTCCTATATGGAGTCGGCCAGACAAAGATGTGGATCCGGTCTACAGAGCCAGGTCGGCGTTGAGTGTTAATCATGGTGGGGTTTTGTTGCTGTTCAGGGTTTGGGCATAATCCCCACATCCTGGGCTACTTATTTACGTGTTCGAAGACGACAAACTGCCTCGACGTGTGTCAAAGAGTGACAATCATCTTTGTCAAGTCACAGTGGCGGTAACGCGGAACCTACACACAGGCTTAAGTGTTTTGCTGCATTTGGGGTTCCGACTGTCTGCACTGCGTTGTTGCCGTCTGCTGTCTGTTGGTGGACAAACCAACAGCCGGTATGTGATACTGCGTCCAAACAAGTTATTCGTCTCTCCACTGTGGTTCATGCGCGTCTGTTTGCCATGCCACGCCAGCACACACAGTCAGGCGGCCGCGCACATCATTCGCAGTGAAAACTACAGAAAAATGTCGTCATTTACTGCATTTCAACTCCAGGCCCTCCAACTCTTTCTTCCGTCTAGAAATGAAACATACCTGATTCTGCTCAAAAGCATCGAGGTGTATTTTTCTTCTGTTTCCGTTCGCGATCAGTTCATTTCATGATTTGCATCATACAGTCAATTTATTAAGTAGCATCAGTGAGGGGCATGATGTGTGACCGACCATTCTGACAGGAATTTTATTAGATTACGGGAATAGCTTTACAGGGGCAAATGCAAGCCTAAAAACGACAACAAGCTACTTATCGTTAGTGTGGAAAATTAACGAAATCATGGGAAAAACCGTCAAGAACCGATTCTTGTACATGCTTTCCTCCGATTTCAGATGATATGGTATTACACCAGATTCTTACTCTAGATGACTAATGCGTTAGGAAAAACTATCAAATTTTATCGCCGACCTACTGGAAGGATTTGAGAGTAGCTTAGGGATTTTGAAAATCAATCCGGAATCAAGAAAATGAGTTGTTGAATAACTTGTCTAGGTGGGAAGTAATGTGCTGCTCATGTGAAACTCGACGGAAGATCTCGCTTTGTACCGTCGTGAATCGTTGTCCTGAATGATTCGGATAGCACATTTGTTATCCATTCTGAAACTCCATCTATCAACTATAAATCTTTTAGATGTTCGAATGAATTTTATGAACTTTGTTTTGTCAGAGTGAATCGAAATGCCCAGTTATATCGGCATTTTCGAACGAATGCAGCAGTATTCTCACTTGTTACGATTACAGAAGGTCTGAGTCGAAGGAACTATTCTAAGGTCTCATGGGCACAGTGTGTGAGTGAATGCATATACCAATTCCAGCCGCTCACTGGACCAGCCTACAAACCGTATATATGGTCTTTTCTTAAGGGACACTCCACCCACATTCGGACAAAATAAACACCTATTCTGCTCCCACATATTTCAGTACTTCATAATTTTACTTTGGTCAGTGGCTCTCGATTTGCTTTATTCATGCAGTGCCGCCGATGGGGTTAGCTGGGGAATCTGATTGAATCGGTAGAGGGCATTTTTGTCGTTGCTCGACTACATTCTGTCAAGCAGCTTGAGAAAACGCTTAACCAATCTGTGATGGTCTTTGTGCTTCTATGGACAAATCTGCCTCACGTACTATTTTTCCTTAGGAAATGCGCTCATCTTACTAGCTTCGGCTGATTTCCTGACTCTCTCCTTGTTTTCAGGTATGTGCAAAACTGCAGTTTTGTCGTCTACTTGGTCCAAAATGATTTTTAACTTTTGTGGATAGTTCCTCCCCCTAAAGCAAACGCATCAACTTTGTGCACATCCACGGGTGCTTCACCTGCAATAAGAATTGAGTGTGCTTACAGGGGAGGAGAACTGTCTGACCTATTCCACTCTTTATTTCGCTATAGATAGGTGAAAATCGTGAATGTTTTCACACGCTTGCTATCTCCAGCAGCTCCCTATCTGATTTGAATTGATTGCTGTGTGCTGCTCTGATCAATAGTGTTGTTTCGTTTCTTATGATCCGCGTAGGGACCGTAACAATAGAAAGATATCCGTATAAGAAACAAAAAACACAAGGTCCATGATAACTATCCCTTTAGCGTATGAATATAATCCCAATACAATATTTAACCGCGTAGCATGGGATCGCACTGTCGAATCGTCCGATCTGCAAAATACAGGTTGGAATTTCACTACTCACAAAGGTATTAGTAGGCAAAGTTAAGTGCGGAAGGTCGTGAGAATGACAGTCGAGTTGGACGATGGCGGCAGTTGGGAAAAAGTTTGGTTCGAAATGGATTACATTAGTGACTCCGAAGTTCTAAGCATGCGCAATTGGTGTTCAATGTCCTTGACGTGGGTTTACAAAAATACACCTTCCCTCATCCGTTAATTGCTGAATTATTGGTGCGCTATTTCGATATTCAAAATGTGGTGTCGCTAACATAGCTACTTAAATCTTCGGAGAAATAAATTTGAAGGAGTAGTGGCTTGGATTTTGACGAATATGACATGTTTACGAAGGGTGTCTTGCAACAACAGAAATACACAGAACCCACGTATTCTTTCAGTTATTGGTATCAACACTTCCTAACATGATAAGCGGCACAAATTTTCTGAGTCAACAGTTGGTCGGGCTAATTGCTTTCTGAGAACTACAGTAATTGGGGTTTAACGTTGCGAATCGTTCAGCATACTACTACAAGAAAAATCAGATGGATAAACGGGAAGTTTATCCCATTGTTTAGATGTTCACCAGAAAACATTACTTAAAATGGCTGGAATTTTTGGTCTGTGGAAACGGCTTTTAAATCCGTCTCATTTTCCTCTACTGTGGACGAGTTGGCTGAAAAAGAAAAAATGGCCACATATTCACAGGACAATATGCATCAGTGTTGTAGGTTCTCATGCCTACCTACCTCCGTTGACTTTGGATTGTAGTTGGTAGTTTAAAAACTGGGTTCTGATTGGCCGGTGCCCAGTCGGACTGTCAAATTCATTAACACGGATTCCATGTTTTGGCGTTCGCTGATTTTGTTTTAGCTTTTTTCCCATGCCCTTGTCAGTTGATCAGATATTCAACTGCGTCGGATATGTTGATTGCTATGCTGTTATCTTCAACAGAATGTTGCGAGAATAAGGTCCAGTTTGACAACATCGTGGAGGTCGAAGAATTTCGATGCTTGTATTCTATAAACCGAGATTCTACGAGTTGATTTTGGGGTCTTCTTGGTCATTATGTAAGGGCACTAATGACCATGGATGTTGTATCTGAATGACAGAATCTATGATGAACCATACTGAGTGCGCTATACACAGATTACCTGTGAAAACCACCTGAAGAAGGATGTCCTGATGTTGAAATATTTGCAGCTAGTCTACTCACTTCAAAGGAGGAACAAATAACCATCTGAACGTTCTTAGAGAATAACTATTCGCAACGCAAATCAGCGTGAATTTTAGAGCTGACTGCCTAATCAACTCACCGTTCAAACATGTCTGTGCCCACCAAGTGGTTGCTAGTCATGGGTAGGTACCGGTCTAAGCGAGAGCTAATCACACTGCCGGCAGCCGCTCGTTCTTAGAGAATAACTATTCGCAACGCAAATCAGCGTGAATTTTAGAGCTGACTGCCTAATCAACTCACCGTTCAAACATGTCTGTGCCCACCAAGTGGTTGCTAGTCATGGGTAGGTACCGGTCTAAGCGAGAGCTAATCACACTGCCGATCAGCCGCTCGAGACCCAGAGGTTAAGCACTGGCCCGAAGGTTATGGGTTTCTTTAGATGCGCATTACGGGCGATTCTGAACAAGGATGGAACAGCTGTAAAATCCTTCCCGGCTTTTCACTTACAGGACGATACTCAATTGAAATGATACTGTTTACCCCTGGTTTTCGTTAGTCTTGACGATCCGGTAACCATGAACTGAGTGGGTGCTGCAACTGAGCTATTTTACTTCTTATTTTGATCAATATGGACGTGTAACCCATCAGTCACTTAGTTAAACGTAGTCTTCTCTTCAGGGTTGTCGCCTGAATCTTTTCAGTGACAGAACTAACCAGTAAAGCAGTTGTTCAGACGATAGCACAGACTCCTTTTTTTCTTCATTTAATATACACACGCTCACTGTCTCGTTTTCGCCGGAGCAGACTGCTCTGTGCATGTTTTCCGGTTCGCCACCCAAATTTGTGTTTTGATTCATCACCCAATATCGATTGACAGCGCTCACCCAATAAGGCCGCCTCGCCTGATTTGGTACCAGCGAGATAAGATAGGGGAACGAAGAGCAACGAAAACAACAAAGCTTGAAATGCGTTCACGACTCCGTCAGACACTGCTCTACGTTCTTGGTTTTGCGGGGATTTTGCTAGTATACAGCCTTTCGAAAAGAAATTGGACGTTAAACCTTCAATCTACTCCGGTAAGTGAGTTATCTTGTTGAATGTGCAACTTGTGAGAAAGAAACTGTATTAAGCTTGGAAACATTAAGTGATTAACCGGAATGCCTGTGATTGTTACCTCCAGGAGTGAATATCACGGCGGAGCCAGCTATAAATTTCTCGTGATTCATACATACTGGAATCTTATGCAAATGTTTTTATCCCTAGAATGATGTAGACAGTGGAGTCCGCAGGAAACGTTTTGCGAGATTTCCGGAGTTAACTTTTAGGTTGGAAAGCAACACCAGACCCTATCTGTCTAATCCTTTCTCAGCAAATGTAACCAGACATTTGATGACGTCATCTAGTGACCACCATCCGTAATAAAATCATTCCTTCATCTGTGATCATGCGCTACAAACAAGCGGCTAAGTTTGGGAGTTTGGTCCAACTAAACGGCAAAACTTATATAGTCTCTAATAAAAAATTTTTGAAGTGGTTCCCCGGATAGTGTTGAAAGTGACACCTCAGCAGTGAAAATTGACAGCTTAGAAAACACTGGTTCACTAAGATCCTTCACAGATAGGTGTTTGGTGCGCCGCATTTATCTAAGTCAAGGAGATACACGTTCCAAGCCAGCCACTGGAGATATTCTTATTGACTCATACACTGTTTCAGACAAAACCCCTTGTTGTGTAGATGTTGAGGAACTGGGGTTGACTTGCTCACAACACTCGTGAACATATTCATGAGGACCGCCGCCTTGGATCAACTAGATTCTCGCTATTGATGATTTCATTTGGTTTTGCGTCATCTGGCCAGCACTGTTATGGACTCAGATCACGCCCAGAAACGAAGACTGTCAAGCGTCAATCACTCATCGGGCTCACAGAGAGACCAGCAGATAATTCAGGGTACACACGTGCCCACGGATTTCGATCCCACGATGGGACCATAAAAACGATTAACCTAGATTCGAATACGTTATGATCCCACCGTTAACGCGCAAATAGATATCATCCACAAGCAACCTAGGCATGTCCCAAAGTTGGAAAACGCTAAAATTCGAAAGAATCAAAGTTGTTCAGCGAACAAACAAATCAAGATAATATCTCGGAAGATTCTGATAGCCTACAAGTGTTGCGTGTAGTGTGTGGACAAAGCAGAGGCATAAATATCCTAAAGACACCATTGGCTTTGTTTGAGTGGTCCACCTTAAGACTCGAAACTGCCAATGCCGAAGAAAAAACAATGGAGTGAACGATCGTGAGAGGAGAGCGATCTCAGAATTGACCATTTTGAAGAAGAGAACACAATGGAGCTTCTCAAAAGCCATTAGTTCTCCTGAAGTCCAGTAGGAGAAGTCACCACCTGAGAACAACACCTTAACTTGTGGTATCTCCTTTTTTCTGGAAAAGAGTACTCTGTGACTAAAACAAATTGGATCAGTTATCCGGCTCGAACAAGGGCTAATTAATCACATGGATTTTGGAAATTTGTGGTATTGCAACGGCAAAATCGAATGTCGGGCGGATAGAAAAGTGCAGTCAAGGCGAAGGTGTCATAAGTAGCGATCGCTTAAGATACCAAGGTTATGAGTACACCACCTCATTGTACGCATCAAGTGGCGTCTCGTGGCCAGTTTATTTGGTAATCTGATTTGCAAGCAGAATATTACCAGTTTTTATCGCAGCAAACAAATTTTGATTGCTGGTCAGGTCATTTCGACGTTTTCGAATGTTGAATTTGTCGAAATTTGAATAAAATGCAAGTTACAACTCGAACGAATCTGGTAAGTGGACCTGCAATATGAAAACTACATGCTGACCATCCCCGTTTTCGTTATATCTCCAAAAAGTCATACTTCTCTCGTACCGAGTTTTAGACTTTATCAGAACGCATGTTTCATTTTGAACCTCATATGTACTGTGCACCGCAAAAGATGCTGCTACCTTTATATCGGTCCTTGGTTTCCTGCTTCGCCCACCACAGTATATCAAAAGGCATGACAGCTTCAGACAGCTCTTTATGGAGGCCAAAAAGATTAATACAACTATATTTATGAGGCCGTCGCATGTCCCACAAGGTCGCGCCAGCAGTTTCGTAAAGGGGCGAGAGACCTAGAGCTATTGGTGCTCCATCCAGATTGGCTGACATTTGACCAATCAGGGAAGGCCTTATTTTAATCTATAGCTTGCACGTGACACATCCGCCTAATCGATTTGACCTTCGGTCATTAAGAGCAGCTGTCTTCCGGGCAACATGATAATAGAAATGGTCCTCAATAAAACCTGGACAAAAGACCAGGAAACGTCTACAAAACCATATAAAAGGTTGCCCGCAATGACTACAGTATCCGTAAAGTACCAGTCATTGAACAACTACGCCTAGGATTTGAATTAAAATGACTAAAATTTCTGTGCCATTGGAGCTAGCCCAACCTCTATTCCTGAGTTTAACTTCGTGTAAAGTAATCTTTGAGAACTTCGAAGATGACAATCCAGTATCTGTTACATTTTGAGATCAAGCAGCTAACGGCTACTGAGGACTGGCAGAGTTGTTTGGACTTCGACATAACCAAGACATGTTAGTTGAGCGTTGGGTGCATTTATTTTGAGGTCAGCACCAGGCGGGTTAACTCATTTTAGTGACGGATCTCGTGTAGTCAATCTACTGTTTTCGTGACTTTCGCTAGCTTGGATGTAGGTTGAATTTTGATTGCATGGCTTCAGAAAAGAGGCGATACTTCTTTCTTTGATCTATGTGTTGGTAGTGGATAGAAATACACCAAGTAAGCGTGGTAGGAATGATCATGTGCTTGATGCTTGAACGTACTGGCTGGATGATCCGTGGTTCATACCCAACCCTGACATCTCGGCCACTCCTGTCTAGGCTTGAATAACTTGACAGTACCTCAAGCTTTCTTCGGATCACATGGCAGCTAAGCACCAAAAGATTTCATTCTTCTCATATTTCCAGGATAAAACTGATCGGTTTGTGATTCTCAAAACTTTTTTGCGCGAAATCAGTCAGTGACAATCACGACTCTAAATATCGTGTTTTGGAATATCCGCACCAAGACGAGGGAGCAGTTCATTCCACACTTTCCAGGTTAAGGTATCTACGTTCGGGACATGTTTTGCCAAAAGGTGAACACTACACCGTCGCGTCGATCCTCCGACGCGATGAAAACAACTCCAAGTAATTCCCACAAAGTACAAGGTCCTATAGTGAAGAGCCGGATGCGCACTCATGAGGGTTGATCGATTAGTGGCATGCAAGCAAATTTTCAAAATTAGTTTGTTAATACAGGGTACGTGATCAACACCACTACTTCTGGGGCACTTCGTTCTGTGGCTTACAGACCCTAACCGATGTTGAGAAAAAAGCGTAGGGTTTCTCTGTTAATCTACAAGAATAAATGTGAAATTTCCTTCAGCTGTAACACGCTTTCGAAACGTGGCTGCCAGGTTGCCTTAGCCTAAATGGGAACAGTCGATCTGATAGGGTCGAGTTCGAACCACGGACCTTCTGGTCAGTAGGTTCGGGTCTTGAACGCTGAGCTACCTATAAAAAATCATACTAGATGCTGGTAACTTGTACCACAAATGAGGGAATAGCGGTCTGGCCTTTGCACTATTAGTACAAGCCTGGTGTGTGAATTTGACGATATTATCATGTAGGAGAGCAAACAAACGCCTCCAACTTGAGCTTTCGCTCGGAAGAGAATCCAATCTACGCTCTCCAGCCCTCCAGATAAATCTAGTTCCTTGATAGTGTTTGAGTGGATTCCTCTTCCCTCAGCACACACATTTGACACAAAGTTTTGTCAGTGAAAACTCTGAAACCTAATAATGATCCAAAGTTCATATTTTTCAAGTCTGAGCACGTGATCAACGTAGTCTTCGAGTTACAACAAAAAAGGAATCTTTTTTAGTGTCTGCTCAAGCTACCTAAAGAAGAGACTAGCTGCTGCGACACTACTCATGTTTTCGATTGTGAAACAAAAACGGTAAGTGGATGTTCAAATCAATTTATCTATTGGTTCACTTCTGTGCATGCCAAGACATCCCTCAGTGTCAGTTCCGTGGGTGGTATAGTTCTTATTGCCAGTCACTGGACGATAGGAACCCTACTCCAAAGTGTGCTTACTTGTGGAAGTGTCCCGTGCGTGTCAGTTCATTGAGGCTTTTGGAAGAGCAGTGTTCGGTCAAGGGCATCGAAAGCACGCTAAGTACTAGGGAACAGCTACAAGTACATTGTCTTCAGTCGTACAGAGCTCTCAAACTTTGATGCTTCATCAAGTGACTTTAGGTTTGTAAGCAAACTTGAGTGCATCCTTAGAGGTGCGCATCAAGGGATGCTTAATAGTAGAGACCAACCTCTCTAATACCTTAGGCAGGACTCAAATGTATAAAATGGGACGGTAATTTGTGAACTCATAACGAGACTACTTTGGTATGAACCTTATCCTTTGAGTTCTCCACCTTTTGAGGGCCTGTTACTCTTTAGGGACACGACTGGATGAATGAGAGATGGAAACAGAAATTTCAGTGACACAGTGCCTTTGAACCAGGGGAGATAGCTTACCAGATTCACTGAACTCGTCTGAGGAGAGATTCGTCAGTTTTTTGTGCACGTCATTGATGGGCTTAGTGGTGAGTTGTATTCACACCCTGGTAAAGTAAGTGAGTTACTGTTTTTGGTAACAAACTAGCAACTGAGCTGGTTACGAATGCTTTATAGAAAGCGTTCAGCTGTAGCACCATTAGGGGAATTCGATTCAAAGATTGTTCGGTCTAGAAATCTCAACCACTCTCCACATATATGTATGCCCTTTTCTTATGATGATGGGGACTCTTGGGTGCATGTGAAGTTAATGAATCAGGATTGATACATATGGTAGCCATGGAATAACTCAAATACAGGTAAGTTTTGATGGCTTGACGATTCATCGCAATTGGTCATCTCCGAGGGTCGTAGAGACTCTACTCAACTTGGTTGCTGAATGACCGCAAAGCAGCTTTCCAATTTGGGACTCGCGAAGGCTTAGTAAATTCCTGAAGTTGTTTTCAAATGTTTCATCTCTCGCCTATTGTCTAGCTGCAACATGGTTCCCCACGGTCTTCCTGGCGCCTTCCATTTCCTGTCTTTTTCTTGAAGATTCATCGCAATTGGTCATCTCCGAGGGTGGTAGAGACTCTACTCAACTTGTTTGCTGCATGACCGCAAAGCAGCTTTCCAATCTGGGAATCGCGGAGGCCTATTAAATTGCTGAAGATATTTTCAGACGTTTCGTCTCTTGCCTATTGTGTAGCAGCAACATGTTTCCCCACGGTCATCCTGGTGCCTTCCCTTTCCCGTCTTTTTCAAGGTGGCCAGCCCAAACTTGTCCAAGGTTGGCCATCTTCATAGCAAAGGTTATAAGGTACAGACCTCCAACGCCGAGCATCGGGACTTTGATAAATTTACTCATTGTCCTCTACCTGGATCACTCTGTAGTTAGTTTGTGTGAAGTGGGCTTTAGGGTGTACTTGATCCACTCCGTGTTGTGCTTCTACTAAGGTAGATAAACATAGGGTACTCACTTTACGCTACCCCCTTGTTCCCCAATACTTTTCAAAGTTTTGATGTACAAACACCGGTTGTCCAACGATTCACTGAAATCCACCGTTGGTAGGGTGACAGCTGATCTCTTCGTCGAGTTTACCTATTGATTTTCAAACGTCATCAGTATGCTAACAGACTTTGTGAGTGCGTGGCTGGATGGTTATCTCCTCGTTTTATCTAGTTTCTAAAGAGCGCATCACATCTCCAAGATGAATGGTCGTTTGAGGACTGACTGGTTTTGTGCAGAAGTTGTCCAGGAATTAGGTTGGTTATCCTAAAACATTACCATGTGTATGCCTCTACGAGCTTGGGACAATGCTCAATTCGCAGAAAAGCCAACAACGGAGCTACAAACCGGATGCAAATTTCTTGTTACAGAAACACAGCCAGATAAAGTAGTAGATATGACGACAATCCTATGAAAACATTTGATATTTGCTCAACTGACGATCGATACATGATGGCTTCGTGGAAATCAGTCTCCCTCAACCGACTGTCAACAATTGTGAAGTGGAACGTCAGGGATATCACATAACTTTGTCAATGTTGTTCCTAGTTTCTTTCCACTCGCTGTGCTTAAAATAACAGTGTTCACAAAATTTCGTCGCTCAGTTTGTCCTAAAAAGTGAAAATTCCAAGGACGTATTGTAACGAGACGTTCAGTTTCCGAATTAACCATGAAATGTCATTCTAGACTTTGGAGAGAACGTTTGAGAACCCTCTCGTTGTCACTGGTTCAGTGTTATGTAGGACCGAGTCTTCTGCAAAATGTGCGCTTGCTAGGTCCATCAACCGGACTATTAGATATGCACACAATTAATGCAACGCATTGGTTTCAAACCCTAGCTTCGGTCACTTAAATTCGTTCAGCTGTAACACCCTTTCGGTTCTAGCTTATATTACCACGCAAAGGAGGCACGAGGACTGGGATACTGCCAGGTTGCCCAAGCCTAAACAGGGGAAGTCGAGAGGCAGATTTCGGGGTCGAACCACGGACCCTCTAATCAGAACATTCGCATTCCAACCACAAAGCCATGTCGCTATCTCGGTCAGTACTTCAGAAGAACTTGCTCGAGTATTTCGAAAGACCAAGTGACAACTTTCACCGCTGTCCGCAGATTTTTCAGACATTTCAATGAATTTCCAACCAACCAAGCAACCGTCCGGATGGAATATTAACGAACTTTGCAAAATCTTGTCAAAAACAATTGGTACTCGTGAATTCTCGTCCGTTTGAAGCTTCAATAATTCAAACACAGGAAAGCTACGTAACACGAAACCTACAAGCGTTCCACTCCCAAGGAACAGCGGTCTTAAAGTTCTCGAACGTATTTGATACCAAAAAAGGAGGTACATTCAACCTGCCCTCAGTGGGATGATTACTTTTTTGTGTCTGTCCCCATCAACATCTAGGCAATTATGCGGTACTTAAATAGCCAAAAGTAACGATCTCATTTGGAAAATGTTTGTATCCAGCACAAGCAGTTTGAGGTTGCACTCTGAACTGGCTTCTTGTAGAAGGGGACTCTCTGTAACATGTAGTAAAATTAACATATTATTTGTAGATGATTATGGAGTTTTTAAAACTCACGCTGATATCACTCTTGTTTGGACAGCCATCCTGACGCAATCATACGGGTAAGCCCACCACACTTGGGAGGGAACACTGGACTCGAGATTAGCTTTAATTAGAGGTTATCTGCAGTGTGTATCCTTGGACGTATAGGGATTTGAATTCCGGGCACGTGACATCCAAGGCGAGTGTGTCACCACTACTCCCTTTGCGCGCGTTTGGACAGCGGAACGTGCCCAAGTTGGAACGACATGATTGGTTGGCAAGGGATGTGCACTGCTGATGAACTCCAATAAGAAAAAACGCGAGTCTCGTGCTTCCCCACCCGTTGATGTGAACTCACCAGAATGATTACCCCGGAAAATGGGATGACTGTTCAAACAAGAGTGACGTGATCATAACTTATTAGGACCTTTAGAAGTTTTAGGAAAGTTTTCCGACCAAATTAATCATTCCTGATTCGCCTGACGTTCTACGAGCATACAAAGATGATCATGGGACTCACTCAACTCTCCAACTTCCACAGAAATTGCGCTTCATAATTTGTCTAGTTTGTGCGTTTGTGACAGTTGGTGCATTGCTTCAATTCTTTCTGAACAGTTTGCTCCAGAACCCGCTCGATTGTATTTACGATGGCAAGACGGAAGCATCTTGGAACCGATCGATTTATACACAGTAGTATATGGTGCCTGTGCAGCGAATCAAGTGGTGATCTCACTGAAAAGCATGCTTTATTTCCAAGGCCGATATCGAAACAGTTCAAGTGCCTGCAAACTCCCCATGAACAGACCATCCAGTATTGTTTGTAGACGCCAGCCTCTAGAAGCTTACAGACCGGTTCGACTGCACTGGGTGGCTGACATGGATGCGCGAAATCGCATATTGTCTATATTCGAAGAATGGCAGCCAGTCGATGTACATATATTTCTGTACGAATATGAACGATACCTGGTGAGTTCATCTTTTTTGGTGCTGGAGTTTATCTGTGCTCTGTCAGTCTAGGTATCTACTTCTTTGTTGGTGTGACTGAGGCTAAAACGTGTTTCAGCCGAGTTGAACTCACAAAGCGGGCACCCGCGGTCTTGTGGCAAATACACATAAGCCGGAATCCATAGGGTTTACCGGTCGGTCAGTAACGTTGCGTAGCCTAATCCTCTACCATTTCTCTCATGTTTCTACATATTTACACAGTGGAATGTCAAGCAATCGGTGGCTTCCTGCAGTGGTCAATCTAGGTTTCTGCACTCGCAGTCATTTAGGATGTGCAGAGTCAGACCTCTCAGTGTCTAAACTGCGGTCTTTCCAATTACACTGTATCTTTTCTAGGGAGTTACCTAAAAAACCGACGGACACCATCCGCAGATACGCAAACGTCTCATGAAAAGGTCTTTACTAATACAATCAAAGTTATTCACATCGTACTTCATACACATTTGTGAACATTCTCGGCAGTAATCGAGTTTTGTAATCTTCACATAGGATATGTGAAGTCCGGTGAAGACCCGGAGTTCGAAATTCCCTGAGCTTTAGGAGATGTTCATGACTGAGGATGAAACAGCTGTTCTCGGCTTTCCAGTGTAGATCGGCTTCACCTGCAGGAAGAAACCTCCACTAAAAGGGAATGAGTTTTTACATTCGTACCCCTGAATTGTATGAGAGAATGTCAAGCATCCGATTGTGACAAAACCTGCTTTCTTTTGTGGTCTCCCTCAGCATCATAACCCTCAGATCAACTAAAAAATCTCTCTCAAATTCTCACAGTTTACCTGTATGTCTTACGTGATGGTAAAAGGACAAGCATCACACAGAAGCTTACGGAAATCCCTGTAGGTTGTTTTGAAACTTCAAATCACCGCTGCCTAGTACCACTTAGATGCGCTTCATTTGGACATGTACTTCTTGGCACTCTGCTACGGTTACAAATCTTCCCAATATAACCCACATAGACAGGAAATCCAGTTAGATCTCTCACTAACACCAGGTGAATTCACAGATGACTCTTTTGGTGACCAAGTTCGCTTTATCCGCTCCACATTTGCAAAACGATTAATAGTGAGCTATGGAAATTTCCCCCATCAACCTGATAAAATTGTCGTATCAAGGACTTCAATCCATCTTCACACGGATGATTCACACCGATGAACGATAGCCCAAAAGCTCGTCAGGTTTGCTCTTTTTGTAGGCATGTCCTTTCTTCCACCCTTCGATGTGGGTTCAACAGAGAAGGGAAAATGTCTGTTGGCACATGTGAATCGTTTCAACTAGGGAGCCAAACCGAAAACGTATTTTATGTGCACAATAAACTAAAGATGTGAGATCAATTTAAACAGCTAGATCGGAATAACAGAGTCCTGAGCAAGCTCATCCGAACTTGCGAGCAGTTTTTATTCTGGGTTTTCGAAGCTTTACGTTGAGTCTTCCTTTTCCAAACTGAGTGTTAAAAAACGGAAGTTCAAAGAAAGGGTTTAGATGGATCTGCAACTGGTAAGCTGACTGTCCCTGCTGTCGAATACACAATTATTCAAACCCCTTGGAGAGGTTTATACTACTGATAAGACCAAATTAGTAAAAAAGAATCCAGTCTGTTTAGGCTACCCGAAAAAATCCACAACGAAACTTTATATGCAGTATCACAAAGACGACTGACCGACAGTTACTGACTAATCTGGGTTTGCACTCCATGTTTGGAGTTTTCAGCAACCATATGAGTAGTGTGTTACGCCCATGCAGTTTATTGCGAATCTCGAAACATGAGTGGACTTGTGTAACACATTTTTCTGAAGAATACCATCATAGACAAGAGATTAAGTTAAATTCGGCTGATTTTTTCGACAAAATTACGTTTGCAGGTAGCTGAAAAATTCCATCCACCTTAAGTTTAGTTGGGTGATATGATTGACCAGGGCTCGGGGAATGCGCCTACTTGATGAGCCTGGGGAAGAACGAAACCGGTCGTGCATCGTGTATTACGCACAGACAGCTGGACTGACACGAGCGGAAGTCATATGGAATGTCGACTGCAAAATACCATTCTCTGTGTGCGAATGTGATGACTGGCCGTGCTGTTGTACGAGGCTTGAAGGACTGGTACCATGGCAGCGATCTCGTTAATCAAACCAACCAGTTTCACCGCTGTGGTCTCAGAATACATATGATGACAATTCAGTTGGGTTTCCGTACGGCAAAACGAACCCTGACAGATAGCACACAAGTGTTTCCACGCAAATTGTCGTAAGCCGGTTTTGCGCTTTGTTTCCCTCTCAGTTTGGGTGGAATTAGTGCGCTTCAAAAGACTTTCCACACTCCAACCGAAAGTCCCCCAAACAGATGAGTAAAACACACACGGCTTGATAAAACAGCAATAATAGGTCAGTAGGCGAGATGAAAAAATAGACCCAGGAGTTAGTTGAATGAAGTGAAACTGTAATGAAACTGTACTAGCCAGACCGATTGCCCAGAACGTGTTTCGTCCCAATAAAAAGAGAAAATTCAGAATGACAAAACCCATTCAACTGCTGAATCTTGACTATTGGTCTTTCTATTCCTCAGCCTTATGTAGAATCGATCCCCACGCGGCACTCTGCGGGTACCCCTCCTCTGTACAAACTTCTTGCTCCCTATATTCTTCCAGAAGACGTGAAAAAAGTAAGTCTGTCGCCTTCAGATCAATGTTCATCGCGTCAACCCAACGGTTTTATACATACGCGGTATCAGTATAACTGGCCATTTTGTAATCAATCGCTTAGATCATTGCTCTGGACTCGGATGTCCTGTTCAACTACAATGTACTCAACCTGTGGAAGGAATTTGGACAGTTTAAATCTGGTCAGGTGAGATTCGCGAATATTTATTGATTATTATTGCCAAACAAATTCTTCGATTTATCATATTTGCAGTTCTACTTAGTTTCTTCAAAGCAATTCCATTTTCGAACATCGTTCTTCTCAAAGCTGGTTACACTAAGAGTGATTTTGACAGGTGAAATCCTACAATTATATCCTCAAGGTGACTACTCCTGGGTGATAAACAGGGTGAACACTGAACAGTATCGGTCTCTTTGCTCCGCCCACTATGGTATACCAAAAGGCACGGTAGCTCTAGACAGCCCTTTATGGAGACAAAAGGAGAATCATTACATCTGTATTTATAGGGTAGTCACAGAGTGTTCCACAAGGTTGTGCCAGAATCTCCGTGAGGGGGCGAGAAGCGTCCAGTCAAGGATGCTCGATCCGGATTGGCTGGTATTCTGACCAATCAAGGCATGCCTTCGTTTGGTTCGGGTACTGCACGCGACACACCCGTCCAAATGATGTGATGTTCGGCTATTAGAGACGGCTGGCCTCCGAAAAAACAGTTAACAGCATCCTTCTCATACAACCATCATCTCTTGTCATTCAAGTCCGAGATTGCATAGCTAACCAATTGGTTACTAGTCTTGGATTTTGCGGTCTGATTATGTTGGTGTGTAAGTGCAATGCCTCAGAGTAGTCTTTCCTGCAACCTCTAGAAGAGCCGCGTTGTCGCAAACCCCCCGAACTTCACTATCTGGGCAAAACATCAAGCCTCGAAAAAGGTGATTCACGTCCCCAAATCGCCTCACTGACGAAAGCAATTTTTCTGAAATCAAGAGAATCAAATATATCTTTTTGAGACTCGATGAGAAACAATTTTCTGGGACCGTATTTGCCTGAGAAATAACTGCAACAAATATTACTGGCACAATTCAATCAGTTCGGTTAAAGGGGACATCAAGACATTTTGTTGTTGACCAAGATATATCGTAATTGTTCACGCAATGGTAGTTGGTCTGAGTGTGTCAATAAAAAAACATTGCAGAAAACTGTTTGGCATACACTCACTTGCTTGTAAATTACTCTACCTCCACCAAAAATGTGGACAGGCTTGAACTTCAAATGCAGTTTAGTAACAAAACCGGAACCTTGAATAATAGTGCAGTCGTTTAGGGATGATTGATGGACCATGCGTATGCTGTCAGAAAGTGACAAAGCAACGAATGTTTTCAGTAAAACTCTCATTTTCACACAAACTGGTTTTTTACGGGAGATTCAGCTTATTTTATCTGATTCTCTTGATCATGACCGTTCGCTTCAAACAGAACATTCGGTTGACGGAAACTGGGGGACTGCGCTTACCTGGTGATTTCCAAGAAGGATGAAACCGATCGTCGGCTGTCGAAGTTTTTAGAAAACTTATCAGTAGTGTGTTACGTTCAGTTCAACGATAGTTTTCTTCGGATTTATATGGACATGAGACTGGAACAATGGCACTAAAGTTACGTCTTTTTGAAACAAAGAAACAGTGCGAATATTTGTTGATTCACAATAGAGAGATCTTGAATAAGGCTGACGAATCGCCTCACAACTCCCCCAGCTAGTGTAAGACTGGTTTCGTTTCGTCTGGTAATCTGAGCGGTCTCTAAGGCGCCAATTTTGAGCACCTGATATAAAGAGAGAGTGCGAAATTGTTGTCTTGACATGTGATGAGACTACATTGTTACCAGGGGCCCTGGTCTTATCGTTTAGGTCCATATATTTGCTACATTTGTAGAACCCACATCAATCTCACTTGAAACGTTGTCCTTCCTTCATGACAAATTTTCTTAGAAGTGCAAGCGATGAACTCCAGCTTTGTTCATCAGAAATGAATATCCCCTGATATTTGTGAGACCCCTCCTCCGTCCTCCACGTCACTGGCCGGAGAGGCAAAATCTACCCCGACGCCGGCCGTTTGTCAAGCAGGTAAAAGGTCAAACGGCGGCTCATCCATGAAGTAAAGCTTAGATGTTCACTTTAAATAACTGCTAAGCGTATCTTGGATAGTTTAAATCAGTTAATTGTATCACCAATTTCTTGTTCTATTCGATTGAACTTGGGCCCTGGTCTTATCGTTTAGGTCCATATATTTGCTACATTTGTAGAACCCACATCAGTCTCACTTGAAACGTTGTCCTTCCTTCATGACAAATTTTCTTAGAAGTGCAAGCGATGAACTCCAGCTTTGTTCATCAGAAATGAATATCCCCTGATATTTGTGAGACCCCTCCTCCGTCCTCCACGTCACTGGCCGGAGAGGCAAAATCTACCCCGACGCCGGCCGTTTGTCAAGCAGGTAAAAGGTCAAACGGCGGCTCATCCATGAAGTAAAGCTTAGATGTTCACTTTAAATAACTGCTAAGCGTATCTTGGATAGTTTAAATCAGTTAATTGTATCACCAATTTCTTGTTCTATTCACGGCGATTGAATTTAAGGTATGATCCTTTCACATGATTTCAATATAGACAGATCCCTTTAGGAAATGCTATGGCCCAAGCCAATAACCATACTCTCCTTCGTCCAAACTGACAAGTTTTCTTATCCACAGTTAACATGGTATGATGGACACGCCCCAGCTTTCCAATTATTCTGCTATTTCGGGGTGAAAATTGGTTCCGATTTATAAACTATTCGCACCGGTTTTACATAATGAACTATCTTAGCTTCGCATTCAATCGATGAATGACAAGTGTTGCCCATCCGGAGATAACGAAGGAATTCAGCTTTACCATTTTCACTTTGGTTGAAGTAGGAAGAATTTGTGCGAAAGCGGAATCTGCAAACGAAACATCGCATATATTCCCTTGACACTGTGCTGTGACTTGCTGAACGGGCGTACAGCTCTGTGTCGGTCCTTGGTTTCCTTCCCCGTCCAATACGGTATATCAAAAGGCACGGTAACTTCAGACAGCCCTTTATGGAGACTAGGTAATATTACTACAATCGTACCTATAGGGTTATCACAGAATGTTTCACAAGTTCGTGCTACAATCTCCGTGAGGGGGCGAGAAGCGTCGAGCTAAAGACGCTCGATCCAGATTGGTTGACATTCTGACCAATCACGGCATGGCCTCGTTTATAGCCCGCACGTGACCCATCCATCCAGCTGATGTGATGTTTGGTTATTAGGAGCGGCTGGCCTCCGGACACACTGTGAGAGCGTTCAAATGCACACTGGTCCGCATGCGGAGAAATTATCTTGGGATTTAAGCCGAATTCCTTTAGGACTGAACTAATTGGTTTCCGAATCGTTTAGCTGCCGCGTAAAACAAGTCAATCACTTGATCCCTCTACTAGAGAGGGATTTGGGGAAAACAACTACCCTAACTGGACCTCATGAGCTGCTTTTATTTGCTTTGTTTATGACGGACTACTAGGATGTGCATCAGCTGAAGTGAAACAAAATTAGCGCCCCGACGGAAATGGCCGATGGAATTTTGTAAACCAAGTCCAGACGGCTTGGAAACGGTTGGTATCAGTCGTTTTTCCACAGAGCGAATGTCCCCATTGAGCACGTAGTTCGTCACACCCTCGAATGCACTTCACCTCGTAAGGGGAGGGACTACCGCTGTGCGTGCGTGCTACACCGAAACGATTGATCCACATGCTTGAACGCTTTGATAACTCATAACTTTAGATTAGATATGAGGCATCGTGTTTTGCAGACAGCATGCAGACTTGTCGCCGAGGCTACTCACATAGTAGACAAACTGCCAACCGACAGAAATCACGAATTGACAGCTAAGACTTTTTGCAGCCGAAATCGCACGTTCTTAGTTCAGACACTGTGATTCAGCTGCAAAATGTAAACAGATGGTATTTCTCCGTGCGCAAACTCATCGTCGTCTAAACTGCATTCGTTTCACGACTGTCTCCCTTCTGGCGGCACCGTGGCTTGGGTAACGAGTCATTGGTTTTAGCTAAAAAAGAGTTTTCTAGGAATCTTGGTTATATGGGTGAATAACAGTCATTACCTGCAAGACTTAGCTAAATCATCAGAGGGATTTTAACTTGAGATGGGGAGCCAGAGAGTTATTTCACTACATACGTAACCGAAAGTACATTTCTTGACCATGTTAACTGGGTTGTTATCTTTAACTCAGTTTTACCACCTCGCGGAATTCGGCAGGTAAAGAAAGGAAAGAATTTCATAATTCCGGTACAAATTCCTACAGTAGGAGGCATTAAAACTCGCTTCATTGCCTACTCATGAAAGTCCGATATTTAGCCGCTGGAATAAGTGTTTCTGTTGGAAATATATTTATTGCGTGGCGCATTAAAAGCGCCGGAAAGACTCGTTCTTCAAGCCGTAAGGAAGAACGATGATCTTCAGAGTATTTTGCGACAATTCAACGAGTCACGAGGTAACGGAGCACTAACGAACCCAGATAAAAGTCCGTTCACGCAATCTGACCATCCAAGAGGGAGACGCGTTGCTACACAAACAGACCCTCTGCAAAGTTTAGTTCGTTACTCTGTGGTTTATCAATAGTTGCCCCCTGGTCTGACAAAACGAAAATATTTAAGATAGCGCTGCGTCTCACAAAAGTCGCGCATTGATTCTCGCTAAATGCCTTCACTCGGAAAGTGCGTCTGGATCGATCGCATGGTAAGAGCCGTTTCCACGCACCACTTCATCTATTATTTTGGAAAGATTCTACAAGGTTAATTGTAGGCATGTCCACCGTTCTTCACCACTCCGAAGGCTAACTCTTGAAGTAACATGGTAGTTTTAATTGCAGCTAGTAAACTGTGCTAAATCTGGCAAGGCTGACAAAAAGTATATGAAGTGTTGAATGAGTTCTTCATCGAAAACTGGCCCGAACCACCGTCCACCGTCGCAGAGATCGTCGAGAACCCAGGCATTCGATCATCCTGTAATTAATTTCCCCTCAAGAAAGCCATATTCCTGGTAATAATCTCAGTGTAACGGGCGAACGGCATCTTCGAGTGACCCGTAATACCAGAACCTCCGAGTAGGCAAAACAAAGTCGGAGCTGGGTTTCTTTGCGGTACTATTAATGTAAGATAAATTCACAAATTATGCAAACCTCGACAGTAAATACTCGTCCAAAACAAATGGTCCACTTGGACTACAAAAGTACAAACTAAGGGAGCAAACAGGCTCCCACGTGGACAGTCACATGTGCACAAAGTCGGCTATAAATGGCCGGACGACCTCAAGGCCAAATGGGGGAAGTAGTAAGGACAAACAAACGTCAGTTCATATACACACACTAAACACAAAAGTGGGTGGGGGGTTACAAATGGGAACAGAATAAACGTGGGCAATGTTTTTTGTCAACGTAATGGATGATACACTCAGGATGCCCGAAACCCCACCGAAATCGCAATAGAGAAGCATCAAACAGGCGGGCCAGAAAAGCTAGCTTCCGATTGAACGTTCAAGTAGTCAATGAATTCAGAAACGGTTGACGACGATGAGTGTTTAGGCATCTCATAGAAATACCGCCGACGACGACAGGTGTTCAGTCAACACCGGTCGGACATCCACAATCAGGGTCTAAAGTGCGCCTCAAGTATCGCGAAGCCCCTTTTAACCTTTGAACTTATTTGTTAACGAGTATTTTTCAGACACTGGAGCAGGGACAGCGGTTAGACAAAATAATTGCAAGCTGTTCTTTTGGCCCCATCCGGAACCAAATATCCTAACTTCTCTAAACTCCCTGTGTGCTTGCAGATGAAACATTCTTGAGAATCTGTTGCATTAGTTATCTTCTGATCCCTGCTTTTTTAGAAATTATTCTCGTACACAAATTTTAAAACGCATCCACCACATGATTGTGCTCTAATCTTCTCACCAATTACGCACTCAGTTTCACTGCAGTTGAGTGCCACACTTGCACACCATATTTCTATGTACTACTATATATATATACTATACTATACACTGACTTCCGTGAGGCTGCGGAAACCCTGTTGCGAAAATTTCCACCTTCAAAAGGTGAGATGTTCTCATCACACGAGTCAATTTGCACGGTGACCTGTTTCTCTCTCTCTCGGCCTTGATGAAGGTGAAAGTGCGTTTGACAACAATTCTCTGTCGCTGGATTTATATTAGTTTATGCATATATGAGCACCTTTCCAACTGTTTATTCGAGTTACCCGAGATTCTCCATCACCAGGCATATTCTGGACGCATCTGGCCTCACACCAGACTAATTTTGGATCGGCTATCTTCCAAACAGGAGCTTTATATCTTACAGTCAAATGCCATCTCAAAAACATACCTCAGACCAACCTTTTATCTCCACGGCCTTATTGCGATAAACAAGGATGCACAAGCGCCTAATTCAAGTCTGTCGCACATCCTTAGCCCTATTTCAACCTCCATTCGTGGTAGTCTACCAAATCCGACAGTTTGTTCCCCCCTTACACGCTCAACATCCTATCCCAACCCATCTCAACCTCCGTACACCTCTGCCTTCGATGCGGAGTTGTTTATTAAAGAAACACCAAATGAACAGACTATTGGACAGGGGAGAGGGACTCTCATATGCGTCTTATTTAAAAAACTAAATATCCATCTCCTCCTTGAACGCGTCTTCCTAAACTTTCCTGGATATTCATTGACTAGTACTTAGTTGCAAGTACGTGCTACAGAGCGACTCGACAAATTCAGTAATAGATCTCACTTTTCAAGAGACGCGAAGAGGATTCACGAGAAGGCACTACTCGCATGCCCCATCAGTAGTATTCACCGTTACACTAGTAGTTTATCAAACCCGACAGTTTATCCCCTCTTTACACACTCAACATCCTATCCTAACCCATCTCAACCTCCGTATATCGTACTGTCGCACAATGTCTCTAATATCGATTTTTGCATCTGTACGGGCCATTTTACACTTACGCTGAGCGTATACTGCTAGTATTAGTGCACAAATGATGATAGCCATAAACAAACCAGGGTGTATGCAATAATA